TGCGAGCCAGCAAACCACCACCTCGCTGCGCCGCCACCTCTCGCCGGTAGCAGACCCCGGGGATCTATCCCCGTCGAGCATTGGGCCCACCGCGTGACCACAGGAGCGACTGCCTCGGATACGCCCACTGTCCAAGGTGGAGAGGGCCGGCTGACCTCCAACAGCCGAGCTGCAGGGCAGGGCGACCCCAACGCCTCCGGAAACCAGTGGCCGCCGACGGGACCGCAACAATCGTTGCTGGATGGAGCACCAATTCCTAGCGTCCTACATGGAGGCCACTCGGCGGACGCTCCAGTCCAAGTTCTTGCGCTTCCAGCACTTTTGCGAGGTGCACGACCTGGCCGTGCTTCCCGCCCGGTGGGCCTCGATCTACCGATACATTCGTTTTCTTCGGGAGGAGGGCAAGGTGGGCGTGCGGTCGTTGCCCCCGTATCTGGCCGCTATTTCGATGATGCATCATGTCGCCGGCCATTTAGGCTTCTCAGCCTTCGACCCGGTCACCCGCATCCTCACCCGCGCTTGGCAACGGGCGGCTCCGGCCCCGGTGCAGCATCGCCGACTGGTCCCCATTTCGCTGCTCCTATTCATTCTAGACGTTGGCCTAACCACCAAGGACGGGCCCACCCTTCGGGTGGCGTGTGCGGCCCACCTCGACTACATTTTCTTCAACCGGGCCCAATCGGGCCATTACATTCTGGTCGATGACATTCGCATCGATGAGGAGGTCGTGGTCTTCCGTGAGCGCAAGACCAAGCTGCGCCCCAGGGAAGAGCCCCGGTCGCGCTATCGCTCGTGGCCTTCCCGCGGCGCCCCCGAGGTCGTCGCCCTGTTGCGCCGTTGGACGCATTTCCGCGATCAAGCCTGGGCGCAAACGGCTCAACCGCCGCGCCATTTCTACTGCCTTCCCGGCGACGCCACCCCTTCGTCCAAGACCGTGGCCTCCTGGTTTTCGTCCCTGCTCGCACACTTTCTGGACCTCGCCCAAGAGTCCTTCACGCATCATGGCCTGCGCGGTGGGGGCGCGTCCAGCTGCTTCGCCTTAGAGGTCACGGAGCGGCACATCCGGGATTGGGGCGGGTGGAAGTCGGACGCGTTGTGGTCCTACATAAATATTTTTCGTTTACCCACTGAGTGGGGTTTTCGGCTTTTCGGTTGGATGATCATCACCGCCCGCGACCTGCATGAGCAATTCGGGCACATCTTCTGCCCCGGAGGGGCCTCGAGTTCCCATAGAGTGACTGGGCAAGTTTAATGGACGGGAACCTCGGGAATGTGACAGTTGACGGTGTTTGTAATTATTGTCATGGGGGTACATGACGGGGTGGGCTCAGGAGACCGGTAAGGCAGAAATGAAGTTAACTATCCTTTTAATGGGTTTCTGCCAAGGGCGACGATGGGTGGTTACCCGACATTGTTTGAACTGGTTTTTTTGCGTCCGCGAGATTTAAGCACCTAGTACCGTGGGTCAGTCAAAGTACAGTATTTCGAGGTGCCGCTAGCGAGGGCGTCCTCGAGTTTGGCGGGCTTTGGCGGGGCGGCAGAGGGCGGCTATTTAGGCAGCCCTTCGGTCCCCCTCCTTATCTTGTTTCGCACCCAGCCCTCCCACCCTGGATTGTGGAGTTCGGGTTAGTTGTGGGATGGAGAGGGAGTTGAGGGAGTGAAGTACGGGAAAGGGAGCTGACTCATGGGGAGTCACTCACTGAAGTGGCATTGAAGTATTAGCGAAGTGAATGGGCAAGTTTAATGGACGGGAACCTCGGGAATGTGACAGTTGACGGTGTTTGTAATTATTGTCATGGGGGTACATGACGGGGTGGGCTCAGGAGACTAGTAAGGCAGAAACAGGTCAATCTGTTGGCAAAGCAACCTAAGAGCCCCACGTTGTCTCAACGCCAAGACCATTGATGCCTTTCCCTTTTGGCCACCCACATTTTCCAATGAGAGGTGAGTATGCAGCCTCGCAAAATCTGATCTTGGGTGGCTAAACAGAACAACATCACATGGAGGAGGGCATGTAGAATGTTCTACGCTTCGTTAAAGAAAGGTTCCGTGATCATTGGCACCAACATCAATCGTCATCAAAATCCATGGATTACATTTGTCACAAAATGACAAAACACAGCCCGTGCACCTGATAGGCAATGTTGGTTGGCACCAACAAGATTCACACCAGGCACTGACGAACCCCAACCTCAACGAAACCTGAGGCCAGATTTTTGGGTAACCATCAAGGGCACAGACAATCAGTTTTGATGCGCAGGTCGGAGGCCTGCCAAGAAAGGGAGATCAGAGGAATTGAGGGTGGATTCAGAATCACTGGAGCAGCAGAAGGTTTGTCCTCAGGCACAATACGAGGCCATGGTCCGCAACGGCCAACGGTATTCAATGATGTAAGCTGTTCCACAGTTTGGAGGAATTTCTGTGGTGCAAGGAGCGTGCGCTCGATCCATTTAGCGACATCGACACATGCCTCGCTCGTGGAAGGCTCGCTAGACAGTGGGAGGCGTATCCTTGGATCCATAGAGGAGAGGCCTGAGGGTGGCCCCAGGTTTTGCTCCCAGACACAAAGACGCTGGAGGCAGCTGAAGGCCAAGAACACGCCACTGAACTGTGCAATGGGGAAGCAACATCAAGCCCAGCAGCGCCGCATTCTGGGGCAGAGGTTGACTCAGCTGGCAATACAGTACATTGGACTGCAAGTGGCATCAGCCGAATCTGCCATGGGCCAACAGAAAAGGGGCCTTGAGGCCCAACTGCCCAACTGTGTGCGGTCGCAAGTGCCTGCAAATTTGCAGTGCGTTACTCAAATACACTGAACGAGTCCAACACAACTAGATCTTTAGCTGACAATAATGGGTGACAAGGCACCACCAGCGTGCAGAGAGCTGCACTGGGCCCACCAACCATCAGTGGGACCAACCACCCCTCAGCTGGACCAACCTCTCAACAGCTGTGGACAAAGCACCCATCAATTGGACCCAAAGCAACACGGATGGCAGTTGAGGAAAACCCTTACTGAAGCCCCAACTGTTTCACTTGGAACTTGAAAAGAATCAACTATCCCCCTGGCTGAATCAATGCCAATTGTTGCATCCGCTCATGTGCCCAGACAACCTGGCTACAGGCTGGGCATGGAATATGACCATCCATTGTTAGCGACCCAACATTCAGAGTCCAATCTCACTTGGCTAGCGCAGGTGGGACTTATCCTGCCTCCAGAGACTCCAGTCCTGGACAAGCAAATGTAGACTGCACATAATACCTAACATGGGATGAGAAGCAGGTTTTGGCATACCTTTCAAGTTCGTGTCCTGGGAAGTCCTAGAATTGTGGGGATTCCGAACAACCTTCGACTACCTTCACACAATCGGTGCAGTCAGAAGACTTCAGGCTCTTGGGCCACTTGCAGACCACAACACTGCAATAATCAAGACCACAAACGGCCGAATCCAAGTTTTATATCCACGATGCTGTGATGGCCACTCGGAGGTGACGTGTGTTTCGTGCCACAGGATGGCAGGGAAATAATCTGCAAGGTTCTGCATGCGCGCTGATGCCCAGCAAGAGGCAGCTGCCGCATTTCCCAGGGAAATCGAAAGCATGCCACAGTGCCCATGACCCTCAAGCCAATGTGTGCACAGCCCAAGAGCAATGTGGCTGTTAAGGCCCCGGCGGACAACACAGACACGACGAGCTGCACGTCGGAAATTCGACAGATCACTTTGGAATTCAAGGAGCAACAAAACAGTGTGACCCATGTTGACAGGAGGTCGATGATGGCAAGCTGGATGCAAAGGAAAGGACGGTGGTGTCAGACCAAAGTGCAGAAACAGGTCAAGGGGTGACAGGAAGGGTTCCCTGCTACGGCTCCACACACTACATCACCAATAAAGGTTTCTGACACCAGGAATGAAGTTTGGGACATCAGAGCCGGGAAACTACTTCACCCAGAGCCCTGCTCTGACACCAAGGAGACGGCAAATGAAAGAAAGGAAGAGCCTTGCCTTGAGCCAATTTCAACAATGACGCTTCCTTTGCAAGAATATGTTCCAATTTACTAACCTCCAAGTCTGGCAGTGGCAGCTTTGGGATGTGAATAGGGAGGGGATCAGGCCAAAACCCTTGCCGCGTGGCTCCCAACACAGTGATGGATGTGCTGTGCACACAACATGCAGCTGTTGTGGTTGGTTGTTCATGCCTCCATGGGTGCACTGGTCGTTTGATATCTACATGTGTTGACATTTTGACCAATCAAGCGAGAAAAAGCTTACAGTCCAGAGCCCGATGGTAGAGAGTTGCACCACAACACACCAACACCAATTCCTACTGTCCGATGTTGACTCCTCTGGTGGTCAAAATTTTAAGCAGATCAGTTGTGTGGCAAAATGTTGCAGATACAGCGACTGCAAGATGCTCTCGCGGCAACCACTAAGTCATTGCAACACCTCTATCCAATCGGGAAGCCCACCAGTGGTAGGGTGCACCAGTTTCACTGCCACTCTAACCCCATCATGCACGCACTATGCTGTTCTATAGATTTCCCAAAGAATGTCTTCCTAAGGGGGTAGGTTGGGGAGTCTGAGTCCACCAATTTGATGTCCAAATCATCAAAACCCCACTTGGCCACACCTTGCGAATGCCTGGGTAACAATCGCCAACATCGACAAATGAACCAAAAACAACCGCACTGATATTAAGTTTGGTAATGATCAAGTAGAACAGCTGCAACTACTCAACGTGAGACAATGGCACCGATGTCAATGTTGCTGTGCAAGCGCATCCGTAACTTATTGGGGGGGGGGGGGGGGGGGCTCCATCGCATGGGACAACACCACACAACCACATACAGGGGCCTGGTGTCAAAAAATGCAACATCACTTCGATGACTTTAATGGATAATCTACAGGAGCTGAAAGGCTTCCACAACCAGGAAAAACACCCACAATCTATTCCTAAACACAGCAGGCCAAAGCACAGCACCCACTGAATTGCACCAATCCCTATGTACCCAAGGAATCTGTTTGAACACCACCTGGAAGCCCAATCCTAGGCCCAACAATTACACCTGCAGCAGGCACACCCCCAAGTTGCTGCGCATCATCATACACGATTGTCATTGTGTCTCTGCCCCCACGCACCTCAAAACTATGCCTGCAGCCCTCATCGTAAGCAGACAGGTCAAAACAAGCATCTGCATCAGCACAGCAGCCTGAAGCTTGGCCAAACACCCCCCTGAGCGCTGGATTCGGATCTGGTGTGGCATAACCAGCCAGTCCATCTTGGGCAGCAAGGCACTCAGGTTCCTCCCAGTTGGCAGATTCCATTGACGCCTCGCAGGTGGGTGGCTGTGCAGCCGATGGGGAATTCTGAAAGGACAAACAAGGGCGCACACCGTTATATGAGGTGGACAATACTGGCCCCATCCAGCTACAAGTTTGGGGGTTTGTGAATCGAGGAGAATCCACAAGAAGGTGTGTGCTGCTGACACAACAGATAGGCAGTTCTTCTGTCCAAGACCACACAAGTCTTGCACCATAGACACCCATATGGCATATGATAAATTTCAGTTCAGCCCTTCACCATAAAATTATTCTTAACACAGATTGCACATTTCTGGATGAATTGGTTATGAATACATTTTCCTAATGCCACTTACAACCCACCAACAAAAACACAAATGCCCTTTTTTCAGAAGCAGCTGACTGCAATTTGTTGCATCACAACGGTAGGGAATTGACTGCCAGTGCTTTCCAGTGAATATAATTTGGACTTTGGGGTTGTTGATTATCGCCTTCTGGGCATTGTGTGCACAGCTATGTGCCAGAACTGGCGTTGTAGGTATGCACAAGCACAATGCAGCAGTTCCTGCCTCCCTCTTGTTCACAGCAAGGCTACTGCACGTCACTGTGATACCAGTACAAGTGCTGGGCCTCCTAACACATTCTGTATGCCTCCATGGGCAGAAGCCCTCCCATTTCTGAGCTGCAGTGTGCGCATGCTGGAAACCCTATGCTTCATCAGAGACGCACGGCTTGCTGAGCCTCAATCCACTCTTCTGTCAACAACTGCAGACAGGCACTCTGGGTACAATTGCATCTGAGCTGCATCCTGTGTTACAATTTCTATTCCAAATATGGCTTCATGTCCAATACTTTCTAATTGAATATGGCGCAAGATGCATTCCTAGTGCAATTATCTTTACCATTGCCGATGGTCTCCCTACCACTATTAGTACTGACACTCTGACTTTCGGTGCTACCAGAGCGCTGTCTATTTGAACAGCCAAAGTAAACATTTGGATTCTCAACACCATACTTCAACTTAGACCTGTAACAGGTCCCTGCTCCAAAGGTGGCCAAAGAAAGTGAAGGGGCAATGAGATATGGCAACATAGCATTCTGCATTCCAAAGATCATTTTCAGCAATCTATCAGTCCTTTTGTCCTTTCATTAAAACCATATTCTCTTCAGTAGTTAGCAAGCCCTCAAACCAACTATTGGAAGTACAACAGTGTGAGCAAACAGACAGCATCAACAATACATTGTGCTCTTTTCAGTCATGTGGCGTTTGACACACAATGGATGCACAAAATTGGCTATAAATCTCTGATTTTATCGTATGGCAAGCACATGTGTTTGTTGCACACCCGTGTTTCCTGTTGTGCGATGGTGCCCTCCGTTGCTTATCATCTTTGCTTGTTCAGGAGGGTGGTGCCCATTGTATGGTGTGTATTTCCTTATCTTTCACAACTATGCTCTCTTTGTCATGTTTGTAATCCGTTTCCTTTGCGGAGCTCTAGCTCAACTCTTTGTTTTCTTTCTCAGTCGAACGTTGGAAAAAACGGCTTAATGGGGCAAACATCGCGGGGTGGCTTTGCACATGTCCATCAAGCTTGGTGCAAAGACTTAACTTTGGCAAGTGGTATAGAGGCAGCAAAAAGAATACCATATTCTGTGATGTCCTGGACTGACAAAACAACACATAAGGACAACAAACCAAGATGAGCACCTTGCAGCAGCTCTGGCATCTTTGTAGGCATATCCTCTTGCTATCACCCTGGCCTTCACCCTCCAAGTTGCTGGACACCATCGGAAGGTGTGACAATTGGGCAGCTACAGCTTCCACATCATCTGGCCGACGCCGCTTGCTGCACAGCACATGTCACAATATTTCAGTTTGGAATCTGCATCCAACGAAGAGATTGAGGAAACAAGGTAGAGAGATTCTGTGCATGGACATAGGCTTAACATGGCTACTTGCAGATACAAGGGCAGTGATGGGCTCCTTTGCGTTTGGACAAGCGCAACCGTTTGGGAATTTTTGCCAAAGGTACAAATTTGACAAGAAGAAATGTGCCCCTTCATCATGTGGGCATGGCTTGCCAGATAGTGACAGTCACTGACAAAATTGCTTTGCAGGCCAATACATATGCCTTATACAGCCTCAAAGCTCCCGAGTTTGGATGCACCACAAGGGCAAGTTGCTGTAGCAATTCAAGCACATGCAGCACAACACCCCAAGCATCTAAACATTCAATAGACACTTTCATCAGAGCACATACGTTTGGATCAAATTTCGCGCAAGGACCACAATTTGCAATGTATGGCAAATACATCCCACAAACTCTAACAACATCTCACCTTCCAGAAGCAGGGGACAGTGCCATGAGCCTCGGAGAGTAAGGTTGCAAAGACAGAGTACAGTTCGGAACCATTCTTTCCACGCGTTCAACTATCCTGCCAGGGGCAATCAACTAATTAGGATTCTTCAATTGAAGCATAATACTACAAAGATAACCTTGACTGTGGTGTTGTGAAACAGATAATCTCAGCTGCAAACTGAAACAATGCCTCTCTCTACGTTTGGCACCCCAGGAACAGAGAGCCCCACAAAGAATGCTTATCCAGTCAGCCAATAGGCAATGCGGCAGAAAATGAAAACAAACATCGGTGCACAAAAAGAAATCCATGCACATTTCTCGCAAAACCACTATATTAGCTCTGAATGCTCACACCTATCAGTCTCCCACCACAGGCCCAACCATGAAACACTTGGAGTGAAGTACAACATTGCAAGAATGAGTCAAAGAATAACTATTTACGAGCATAGTAACAATGCTTAAGCAGACGACTTGTGAACACGTTGCAACAAAAGAATTGTCTCCACTTATAGTGGCCTATAGCACTGACAACACAGTGTCTTTTTTTTACCAGCTCTCTGTAGGTCTAATTCATATGTTCCTGCATTTGCCATCCCATTCACATTGTGCAACAGGGCGGTAGCCAGCATTGCGATACCTGGACATTAAAGAAACACTGATTGGAAACCCTGCGCGTTCTCCAACACCTGTAAGGCGCAGCAGCATTGTTTCCAGTTGATTTTCAACAGCTGTAGCCCATTTTGCCATTTTGCATCAAGTCCACTTCCATCGTTCCTTTGCCAGTTCACCTGTTCCTGAAGCTGGCTCTCTGCTTGTGCTGGTAGTCCACAAACTCGTCCAGCAACACTGGCCAGGCACTGCTTGGATCATAATTCCTGAGATCTTCATGAATCTGTCGGCTGAAGTCCAGGACCTGTGCAGGCCAACAGCACCACCCTCAGCAACAACTGCCAACGGACATTGGCAATTCTTCGCCCAGCTTTCTTTGCTCAGATTGTGTTTTTTATTCATGCAATGAATCCTTGGGCTTCACACAGCCTTGAACTTCAGTGTGAGGCAGCACAGCGCCCAATGTGGGGGCAGGGCGGGCATCTGGGTTCTCAGATAGGTTGTTATGTTTTGGAGTACAAGGCAATCGACAATAAGGTTGTGAAAGAATCATGTAAACGAGTATACCTGTGCACAGCATGCCAAATTCCACCTACAACAAGTGGTCAAGTGCTCAAGTGGTCCAACAATCCCATCATCACTAGCATCAGTAAGAGATGACAGGAACTGGCAGCAGAATGGGACAAACCAAATATGCAACCTGACCCTGGCATCACCTTGCAGCGAGGTCCGTGGGACTTGCTCCTCATACTGCCTTAAATTCACCTTACAGGAAACTAAGGCTGCATTCTGCAGGCAGTTGGGAAATTTGACCACCATGAGCAACACTGTGGCTGCCATTCTTGGGCCACAGTTGGCGCATAGTATGAATACTGGTTCAGTAGACTTGCTGAAAACTGGCCAAAATCACATGCCTGCTGGATGTCAGATGTTTCTGGGGAAATGCTTGAAGGCAAGCAGCCCATGATCAGTGCTATGTCCACAACTGGACGCTTGTCCCAAAAATTGTCTGCACACACCTGCCTCCATGTGTCCTCAGTGATCACCAACCGTGCACTGCCCATCACAAATTCACACCACCTGTCCAGCAACCTGAACCTGTTCTTCAACACAATTTTCCATGCCTGTACGGCTCTCTCAACCTGCCAAGGGAGGCACAAGTGGGGTTGAGATGTGCCTAAAGTCGAGAAGCATGCCATGCACCACAGCACCCAACCCCTAACAAGAATACTATGGGCCCTCTTCTTGTCTAAAGCACAGTGTGAACCACAGACAATGAGTGCAAACACTGGAAGCGTGGGAGCTCAGCTCCAAATAACAAAGACAGTGCCCTATCCTAACAATCTCCATTTTATGTTCCCAGGTCGTGCTCTTGTTCCTCAATGGGTGAGCAAAGATCGCCACAAAGTACAGGACAAGATGGAAAGATGGCATGTGTGGATATTGGTAACTGTTGCTCACCAACTGTGTATTGACACTTGAATCGTTGTGCCACTGAGCAAAAAGACAACCCTGTGTCCATGTCCAACTCAACCATGTTCAGCATGACCACAACGTGTAGCGATGCCTGCCTTGGGAGCTGTCTTTGTTTTTTCATTATGTTGCATCACAGTTCAGAGTCCATGTGGGCAGTGTTGTTGTTGACAAGACTCCGTAGGCTATCATACCAGGGAATGCTGTGCTACGATCCCTCCTTGTCCAGAACCCCCAATTCCATCACTTGGGCTCACAGGCCATTCATTTGCATGCCACAAACCCACAAAACTGGTAAAAGTACCCCAGTGGTGGTGGCACATGTGGAACCAAAAAGCTGTCATGTACAAGATATATCCTTGTGCGATCAGCTGACCAACCATAATGGGAAACAAGGCTGTACCATGTGGTTTCATACCATGGCAAACCCAGGAGGCCCATGTCATTTGCTATGCACCATCTTATGCGATACAGTCCCATTGCAGCAACACAATTGAACACTCCTGAGCAGCAAGTTTCAATGACACATGGGTGCCTGCAGTTTCAAATGTAGGGTAATTGTACCATGGCATGCTTCCAGCAGTTTGGCAAGAATCTACTGCCGAATTTGGCAGTTGTAGTGATCGTTTTGAGGAATCTGCAAACCGATTGCTGCCTGACATTGTCCTGTACAGCTGATAGAGCTGTGTTTTGCCACTACTCAACAAACTCAAGTATGCTTATCAAAGCATTATCTATTGCAACACTTTTCTGTTTACTTTTGTAACAAATGCAATCCAAGCATTTACACAACAATAGAATTGGAAGTATGTCAAACAAAAAGCATGGATCTCACCTGCAATGCACGCTTTCCCATATCGCGGCATACAAAGAACACAAATCTGTAGAACAGCGTAAACGTGTTGCAGTCCAAATTCTGCAACACCACAGAACCAAACTTTGGTGTCTTGCTCCCCGCTGATCCAGCCATCATGGCACATGCAATGCACCTAGGAATTCACATTCGAATACAGTGGGATGCCCTCTGACAGTTTTCTGTTCTGGGCCATCAGGCTCACTCTGCCAGACAACAAGGTCCCCACCTGAAAGAGGCATCTGTCCCTGGCCTGGACCACAGCTGCCAATGCTCTTTCACTGCCAGATGACCGCACCACAACAATGGTCACCTCTTGCTATAAGGAAAGGCGCCTGCAATAATGCGAACTGCTAATGCATTCTGAGCAACAAAGAGATGAGTCACAAGCCACATCAAAATATGCAATGGAACAGTTTGTATTCTACATGCCTGGCCCTTTAACTTTTGCCAGAGAAAATGCGCATAGTTTCTTGCAGATGAAACGTAGGTGGACTGGTGTTTCAAAGCTTTAATGCATTGATATGAGCTGGTAGTGGCAACACCAGGGTTATAGCACAGGCCAACTTGCTAGTGCATGGTAGAGCTTCGGCCAAGCGATGCACTGCAAGGCAGTTTTCCTGTCTGTGGCACTTTGTGCCATTGATCCTTTCCAGTGCGAAAGGTTTGTTCGTTATGCCTCCTTGGCAACAACTGGGAGTAACCAACAAAACTATTTCACCTCTGCAGAAAATAGAGTATCCTATCTTTTTGTGGTTAATCATGTGTGTGAGGTGCAGACAGCTTGAAAGCAACAGACATTGTGGGGGCATCAGCTGGCCTGCTCTGCATATTTGATGCAAGAGCTTTGCTACGCTATCTGCAAAACTTGTCACAAGGATTCTATTGGAAGACAATGGCTTTGTGAGTGCGCTGCAGCAGCCCGTCTCCTCACCCATGCAAACCGGCACCTTGCACGCCAGCTTGGAGTTCGTTCAACTGAGAACGCACAACGTCTGGGTCTGCTCCGCACATTACCACTGCCAATGCACACAGGAAAATCAGAGCCCAACGAAAAACCACCTGACACATGGCATGCCACGAGCTTGGTCCCTCGCCATCTGAGCAAGCCAGCCATCCGATGGCCCGCTAACAGAGAGCTTTATGCCAAAGTGCCCTCACCATCACATCCCCACACTCCCCCCACTGCTCGCCACATTAGGAAATGCAAGATAAGCAGAAGTGCTAGGCAAAATCCTCCAATTCCATTTGTAGCTAAACGGCACAAAACAGCCCTTACGCATGCAGGGCGAAGTCGGGCACAAGTCCGAAAGCAGATTGAGCGGGCCGTGGTCACTATCAAATCCCGTCGATACCCAGAGTCCAGAACGGAAGCCGGTGCCAAGTCCAGCAAGCCAGCCAGGCGATAAGTCATACAATGGCCACCACGCCGACAGCGAAACGACATCCCCTTCGGGCGGATCGTGAGCGGAGCCAATCCATTGCACCATATCGTTCAAACACTGCACGGCGCTGCCTGACTGCTGCACTTGCACCCGCGAGGTGATGATGGGGACGAATTCGAGCGCGAGCGAGCGCCGCGAACAAATTACAATCACTGCTCTGCTCGGGCTTAACAGCAAGCTGATAGCCACCCTCTTGCGTTGTTGTGCGAAAATGTGAAAATTCATGGCGAACAACGCAGAGCAGGCAACCGTCAGGACCAAAGCGCGGCAAAAACACTAATGCCTTCGATTGCGCCACGGCGCCAAAGGCGCAAGGGGATCCAATCCAGGGCCCCCGTGCTCTCCCCGCCGTCGAGTGGGTAAAGTGTAGGCGCTGGGCGGACCGAAGTTAGGCGCAGGGACGGCAAGAAATAGGCGCAGGGCTGGCAAGTCACCAGGCACGGGGCGGTTGGGAAATGTGCCGTAGCCGGCATCACCCGACAAGGAACAAAGTTCAAGGCCAGCCCCATCAATGGCTCCCAACCCTTCAGACTGTACCCCTGCATTCGGCCCCTGGACCGACCTCTGAATCGGTCGAATGCCTCCGCGAGCAGCGGCTCCGCCTGGCCCCTGGCGTCGAACGCCAGCGGGGGGCCGGAGCACGCCTTGAAGGGTTCATGGCGCTGCGGCGAGGAGCTCCCGGCGTCGCAGTCCATGGCCGGCGGTGTCCTCGGGCAGCCGATGCGGCCTGTCCAACTGTCGGCCCGCGGACAGGACAGGACCGCCCCCAGGAGCGGGAGGCCACAGGACCCCCGGGGAAGGCCGATTGCTAGGGAGTTTTGCCTGCTAGGAACTTGGAATTCTTCCCATTCTCTTGAAGGAAATAGGAAGAAAACAAAACAAAAACGTTTGATACAATAGATAAAACAAATAAAGAGCAGAGAATAAAATAATGTGGACCGAGTTTTGTTTGGTCGCTCTCCCCCAAACTGTTGCGGCTTTGGCACAAAACGTGCACAAAGCGGCGTGGATATTCGCATGATAAATGTCAACCCAATTATAGATGGTTTGTTTTTGACTATACGGTTTGCATGTTCCTTGGCGGTGTTCAGTTGCGACTTACTGTACGGGGTGGACGCCTCTGCGATCGGCTTTTAAGTGTAGGTTGAGTGGCTTTTTAGGCGCGTGGGCATTCAGATGATTGGTTGTAAAGCGTTCATGTAGGGTGCACACAAGAGGCGTAGGATCTTGCCTTGCAATATTTTTTCTTCACTTCTGAACTATGAAAGAAATGTGCGTGTGATATGTGCGAAGGGCGTTTTTAGCTTCTTATCAATGGAGGGACTACTTTTCAGTGTTCTTTTTGGGACTTTGAAATGGATTGTTTTTAAGTACTACTATCTGAAGCACTAAAAATGATGGAAATGGTAATTGTTGAAATCACCTCAAATCAAGGCCATTTATGCAACGGCCATTGATTAAAAAACCAACAAGAAGGGGTAAAAAAGAGGACAAAAAGGGGTGATTTCATAACACAGGGGATGAAGTTTTAAGTGGAGAAACCATGGGATAAAAGTTGCCTTTATTAGGATCAGAATTTAAGACTTTAACCATCAGGAAGCCATGGACCGAGGGTGGCAGCGCCATGGTTGGGGTATGGCAGCGCCATGGTTGGTGCATGCCAGCGCCATGGTTGGGGTATGCCAGCGCCATGGTTGGGTTATGCCAACGCCATGGTTGGGGCGTGCCGGCGCCATGGCACAAGTATGACTAAGCGATGTGCAAAGTACTGGGAAGGAAACAGAACCTCTTTGCAAGGTGTTACCAGGTACAAGGACTAACTACAGTCGCCAAGATACCACATTTGTCTACCCTGGCAGCGTGGACAGCGGCCTGTCCGACTGAGACTACCTCTACGTCAGACCCAAGAATTAGTTCCCAACATTCTAGAGCTTGATCCGCGTATACAGCCTGCACAGCAGTGCGCGCTGCCCATCGAAGTCGCACCGCCTGCTTGCGGTCAGACGCGGTCTCCCACGATGGGGTGTACGGACTATTGGAGGTATCGGAGTTGATGTCGTATCATCGGAGGTGTACTGAGCGATGGCAAAAGCGGGAATACGACTGCGAGAAGACGATGATACGATGTCGGAGGCTGCCGGGCTACAGACGGACGATCGATTGACAAGGAGTTACTGATACGTTCAGTCAAAGATGGGATAGCGTCATAATAACGTAGGAACGATCCTCAGGCAGGCAGACTTGAAGTGACTAATTGTTGATGAGCTGTCAAGGGTCGGAGTGTGACGGCGCCGTGTTTGGGGCATGGCCAAGCCGCGTTTGGGGTATGCTGCCGCCACGCTCGGGTTTGGATCGAGGGATGATCTGATCCATGACAGGCGCACTATGACGTGTATTGGATGGGAAAGAATCTTTTCATAGTCGGAGTTGTACTGGGAACATTGGGAATAGTACCAAAGACAATAACGATGTACTAATGCATTGGTTTTAATACAAATACGAGGCGCTCTATGGTGAGCAGGAGCCTCGTTGAGTCCGTTGATTCCTGTCTGAACCGTGTGCCTCTGGTCGTGCTGGTTGCCGTGTCGGTGCCAGCTTGCCTCCGCCCCTCTCGCGAAAGTGCTGCCCTAGTCGGTCGGGGCTTCGTGTCGACTTCCCATCGCCGGCAGCGTCGCGTTGGGCGGAGGAGCACCCGGTGGAGTCTGTCTGCCACCCCAGAGGGTCTGACAGGGCGCGGAAGCGAGCTCCGTTAATGATCAATTCTACTCGGTCGGATATTTGGTTGGTTGGTAAGACTGCGCTGGCTTTGAAGGAGTGACGTGGTCGGTTATGGCGCATTGCTTGCAAGATAACGCAATGGACACTGGCGGACACGCGGCAGTGGCTGCTAGGACTAGGGCTTCCATCTGTCAGTCGTCAACTTCCACAATCAAAAAAGATGGTCATTAACGTCTGGTAGCTTTTGTCAACTTCATCCACAACAACATCTTGTGAGGATCAGGGGTGCATTATCCAGCAACCATTATGGTCAGATTTTAAAAGCCATGGAAATTTTGTGGAGCCGAGCATTCCAAATGCAACCGACGTCTGGTATTTTGCATGACACTGTTGGTGCTTTTGAAAGCCTGCCTTTGGTAGCTCTTACATAATTTGTTCGTGCACCTAAGGGACTGGTTTGATTTGAGCTGTCACCTGAGAAAGGTATGATGGGGTGGTTTGGTGTGCACTAAATATTTAGCTTGATCCAAAACAGAATTTGCATAGAAAAGGATTGGAGTTCGCTGCAAAACCTAGGGTGTTAAGAACAACCGTGCACAAGTATGATCAAATTCCAAGAGACACGGTGATTAGTGCCAAAGCATTGATCTTGCATATTTGCCAATGCTGTATGGGAGGTACATATTTACATCAACCAACAAAACGCCCTTGATTGAAGCAAATGTAGCCGGCTGTTGTGAGCGAGAATTCAGCAATGCAATTAAGCATATCGGAAGAGATGATCCAAAAAGTTATGATAATTGTGACGTGGTTACTTGGGGTTAGGCTAAAACTGGCATTTCTGAAGAGGTGGTTAGTCAAAAAAGTGCAAATACGTTAAAATCGCATTATTCAAGAGCTCTTGATGCCGATAGCGCCTTGAAACATCCAATTCCATGTAGAAACGGCAAAGTTATGGCCGTTTGAAGTTGCAGTACTTTGGCATGGGATTCGGACCGGTACGGAGCAACATCGGGGATGATACGGAGCTGATTTAGGTGAATGGTGGGCGGGGACACGAGCGCCTAATACCTTACAATACACTATATACTGTGGTATGTTGTCTTGTCTTGATGTGACCGCGAGGGACCTGCGATCGGGCCTCGCGCGCATGCGGGTCCTGAAACAGGCACATGCAGGTCACGAGTGTAATCCGTTCTTGGCCCACTGCCTGGTCTCTCCGCGACCAGCGAGCCATCGACCGGCTGCGCCACCACCCGCTATATACAGCAGGCCCCGGGGGACGATCCGCATTGTTCTGGGCCCACCGTGCATCCGAGGGAATGAGCGCCCTGCTTCAGCCCACCGAATTCGGTGGAGAGGGCTCGCTGACCTCCAACAGCCGAGCCGCAGGGCGTGGTGACCCCACGAGCTTCGGAAACTAGCGGCGCCCTTCAGGGCCGCAACAATAACAATAATGTCAAAATGTTGAAAGAGTGTAGTAGTGCCCATTTGCTGTCTACAAACAGATTCTCCATGAATCTGAGTGAATAGGGTTGGGACATACTAGAATATGGCCAATGCATCAGTGTTGGGAATTGAAGGTTTGCATGGAATTGGACAAATCTTAAAAGAAACGCCGTCGATGCGATTCAAACGGCCCCTTTGGAGTGCACACGTGAAGTGCAAATTCATGATGGTTGATGCTTCAATGGTGTTGGCACACGACCAAATGAAAGGCCACACCACACACAAAACGCCCGGGGCTTATATATTTGTTCACCCTCTCCATAATGAAGAGCCTTGCCGATGGTGGCGACGACCCTCGCAACCAAACAACTTGAATCTTTTTGCACCCACAAAAATCTTCTTTTCACGTAACAACGAACATCATCCATTACAAACCAGCCATATGGCACTTTGAAGATGCCCACTCATCACCACAATGCAACTCACTTTATAAAACATATACCAAAAGTGTCTTAAGGTAATATAGAAATGTTTAAATTGTGAGTGCAACCCCAACCATAGTATTTGACATATACTATGGTTGGGGTCGCACTCACAATTAAAACAAAGATTTTTTCTCCTATGAGAGAATATATCTACAACATATGGCATCTCCCACAACACTCAAATTCATGCCCACAAAAGTCCCATCATGGGAGAAACAATTCTGTGAATTCTAAAACACTGTTTTTTCTTTTAATAGATTCAGAATGCCTTGTATATAAACCATATTCTAGTATACAAGTCACACATTATGATGCATAAGTGACCCACCCAGTAAAACGGTGGTCATTATGCGATGTTGCAAACATAGGCTCTCCCACGTTTCTATCTACAAGACACTCCGAATTTTAGTGGGCTCATAGTTTCCTCTAGCAAGAGGACCCCAAGAAATTGTATTCAAATATTCAACATCAACCATTTGCCATAATTAGTGCACTATCTGCAATCCTGTGGCACACCACAGTGTAATCGCTAAACATCCCTCGTTACCACTCTTACAACTATCACCCAGCACCCCCATCAATGCCTAATCAACAGTGGTCTCATAGGCACCACAGCACGCAATGGACTTGGTAGTTTTTCTCTCCAACGAGCTGGCACCCTATTTCTGAATGAATATAACACCAAAGGATAGGCTGGTTGTGCAACTCACCAGCATGATCTCATGCTGGGGAAAGAGACATCCCAACTTGTTCCTTAGGCTTATTAAAACATATTTGCGAGCGAGCAAAGCGAGCGGAGCTTTATAGAGCAAAATCGCGATTTTGGCCGGCCGCGCGCCGCCAACCGCACCGCCCCCTCCCCGGGCTTCCTGGCGCCGCGCGCCGTGCGCGGGTGGCGCGCGGCACGGACGTCGACCGGCCATTCGCACCCTCCCCGACTTCCTTGCGCCTCGTGCGGCGCTCGCCATGCGCGCTGACCGCCCACTCACACCCTCCCCAACTTCCTTGCGCATTGCGCGGCGCGCGTGCGGCGCGGCGGGTGG